ATATATATGTATATTCAGATGTTCTGCATGCAGCTACCTGTACTGGGCCCTTGTTATTTTCTGACGTGTCTTTGAGGATAAACCAGTCCAGGATGCCAACACAATAACAGGCATGGTAGCAGGAAGTTGGTCATAATTAGAGGAACACATACAATGAGATGTGGGCAGACTCATGAGCCGGAACTCGAAACAAGGTTTTAAATGTTGTTTTTAAAAAGGGCAACGAAGGGAAATCAGCTCATTTTGTGTTTTTTGGGTTGAAGCCGTTTGAGACACATTACTTTAAAGTTTATATGCACAACAGATTAACATAGATACAAATAAAAACACACCACGTTCACCATTGATCCATGTTAGACAGCCACTAGAGGGCTCACTGTCAAACATGATTTATAGTGAGAACATGTCATTCAATACAAAAAAAGTTCCATTGTGAAATTTGCTTTCCATAAAACACAAATGATTTACTGATTTACATAAACTGTGGTAACATTTCCTCTTTACACTCCGCATGTTTTATCTGAGACAAAGTACGATAGGAGTTCAATCCAGACAGACTTTTATTGTAGTTGAATACATTTATTCTGCTGCTGTCATATCAAGTAAAAATATTTTAAATTGAATCTTAACTATCCCTGTAATAAATTATAATTAAGTGTAATAATCTCTCACAATTACACAATATATCAAACAATCTTTACTGAAAGCTGAATTTGCTGTTGTTTAAAAGAAGAGTAATAAGTACGGTGTAAGACTTTAAGATGTACGAATGTCTATTGTTTGTAAGAATGGATTATTCATGTGATAATCTGCAATGTCAGCTAAAAATCAAACACTATTCTCAATATTCAGTACTTTGTTTTATACATTGATTCTGTCTGTAATTATTTTTTTACTGAACAATTATGTGGTTACTTATTATGATTAGGCAGCTTTACATAAGCAAAAAAAGCATTAGAATTACCTTTATCTGGTAATAAGTAGTTTTTTAAGCCACTATTTAATTTACTACATTACATTACAGTCATTTAGCAGACGCTTTTATCCAAAGCGACTTACAATTCACATTTCTACACCGTAGGCACAGCTACAGGAGCAATTTTGGGGTTAAGTGTCTTGCTCAAGGACACATCGACATGCGACTAGCAGAGCCGGACCACCGACGCTCTGACTGAAAGGCGGCCCTGCTATCCCCTTACCCACAGTCGCCCCACATTAGTCAATTTTATAAACTGGGGTTTACTTATTTAAACAACTTTAAAAAAAATGCTGCTTTTATTTTTGAAGATTGCATACGGAAGTAGTATTTCATACCATGAGTTTTATTTTGAAAATATGTCCGGAAGTGTGCCAGCTCCCCGCTGGCTAGCTTGACGCGTTGGTGTGTTTTCTGTTCCCTGCGGCCACAGAAGTGTTTTCAACTTACGAAACACTTGCGCAAACTTTGTCCCCAGAACGAACTACTTTACGTCTTTCGGTTGTTTTCTATGTCAAGAAACGAGGATGCAACCTCCACCGAGAAAGGTGAGTTTAGTTTGAATCCACCGTGACTGGCGTGGAAACGTTCTCGACGAACTGCTGCATATTTAATGGTTTTACAAATGTACGCTTTGTTGTTGCTGGTTCGTGGTTTTAAACGATAAACTTGCTTTTTTTTAATTCTGCAAATGTTAACTAGTTTGTTCTGTTTTTTTAAAATAGCAACAAAGGAAGAAAAACTTATAAAAAAAAAAAAAAAAAAGTCCCATGTGCCACTTTTTTTTTTTTTTTGGGAGAACAGCATCGTTCCCTCTCGAATGGAGAGAAAACGGTCCTTCCAAAACACTTAAAAAAACGTGACGACATGAACCGTTTCCCCAACAGCAAGTGTGCATATTTTAATAAATGTCGTCCCAGAGGTGTTGCGTTACATCAGCGCTGAAGCATCAAGGAAATATCGCGGCTGGTCCGCACTGAGCTGCAGGATTATGACCATAGCATGCGAGACAAAAGTTTAACATTTTACCCAAAGTTAAATGACGTTTGAGGTTTTTGTCCGCGCCGATTGTGAGAGTGGACCCACGGTTGTTAAAACAGAAAGTCAAAGTTGGCTCGTGCGGTGTTGTTTGAGTGCGTCTGGAGCGATGCGACGTTAAATTGACAGGTTTCTGTTCGTAGTTTGGTCCAAACGAAGAGAAACAGTCGCTGCTGTCACGTATCTGTTGCTTAACTTCAGAATAGTCTCCACAGTTTAAGAGTGAAGTTGTGTTTGAGTTGGAGATACACGTAACAACACAAAATCTCTGTAAACGTGGTTCATCCGATCATATTTCAATGACATGACACCAGAGAGCTGGGAACTGGAGTTAAATAGATGCAGGTGTTCCTTGTTTAAAGTGTTGTACACAAAATACAGAAGTTAAAGCTCTCTGACTTGGCTGAACATATTGATTAAATGATGATTTGTCAACATGAACATATTCATTTAGGCTCAGACTTCAAACTCACATAATTAAAATAAACAATCAACATCAAGTTCTCTAATGTTGTGATTAGAAGAGAAGCATTCAGTCCGGAACTTGTTTTACATCTTTGATCCTCGTGTTGAAGTTTACTACTTAGTACAACACACAAAGTATTTCATTATCTAAAAGTCTTATTATTATTATTATTATTATTATTATATTAAAGATACAAGATGTTTAAGTAACTTGTTTTGTTATAAAACAGAAGACGAATGCACCAGATCCTAAGAGCCTAAACTAGAATATTTGACGTTTTTGCTTGAAAAGTTACTTTAATGATTAATTGATCAGCGAACTAGTTGCTTGTTGTTTTTCTTTTGACCGACTAATTAGGTTATTACCTCTATTGTCAGTAAAGTTAGATTCCAGGTGTCGCTGTGTCTCTGGGGAGAGAAATTAGACTAGACACCAATCAGGCTATTGAACCTTCTAATCACTGATAATCACTAATAATCAAGTTCTCAGCCACTTATGTGGAGCTGCTTTCCACTAAGGATTATTTTCATCATTAATCTGAAGATTGTTTCTGTCATAATACATCACAAAGCTGTGATCAGACGTCATCAAATAGCTTCTTTTATCCAAACGAGAGTCTAAAACCTAAAATATGTTAGATTTACGATCACAGTGTAAATACAAACAGCAGATCCTCACATTTAAGAAGCATAACAAGTGAATATTTGTCATTTTGTCATTAAATTCTTCACATAATAAACTTATTTTAACAAAATTCAATGATAATAATAAATAAATAAACGCAGAGATACCAAAGCTATTATCAATTAATTATTTTGTCAATGAAATAATTATAAATTCCAGAAGTCAAAGGTAACTTATTTAAATTGCTTGTTTATTTGACTAATAGTCCAAAACTCAAAGATGTTGAGTTGACTGTCATATGTCACAAATACATGAATCATATCCTCACACTGATTGGCTGTTAATGTTGACATCTATATTTAGTTTTTGATTATTGAACTTTAACCGGCTCATAATTGAAGCATGAAACAAACCTCCCAGTTAACAGTAATGAGATCCGGTCAAAGCTCTTCATTATTAATCTGATGGCCAATTAGAAACCCGGAGCTGCTGCGTGATGATGACTGCAGCTCATTTTCACAAGCAGCTGTGAGCTCGGCTGAATCGACGGCGGCCTGTGGAGTCATTGGTAGACATGTGAGGAGTATTCAGTGGAGAAATCCTCTTTTGTCTTTCTGTATACGTCCCAAGATTCTCTCTTAATAAACCGTCTTTTCTTCCTTCCTGCAGGTCCGGGTCACCCAGGAGCTGAAACACACTCACGCAGAGCAGACGAACAGATTACAAATCAAACACCAGACGGAGTGTGACCTCCTGGAGGACCTGAGGTGAGCACAGACTCCTCTGGTTGTGTAGAAGTCTATGAGAAGATGACTCTACTTCTCTCTTGATTTATTACCTCAGTAAACATTGTAAACATGAGTTTGTGGTCTCAATCTCTAGTTTCAAGTCTTCTTCAATACAGCATGATGTTCATTTAGTACATTATGGTCCATTTAGAGTCAAACAGACCATAAAGCAGGGGATGCTTTAGGGCGGGGCTACTGTGATTGACAGGTCTCTACCAGAGACTATACGGCGTCTCTACGTCTCTCCTCCTCAGTCCAGATATGGTCACTTCCTGTTCGCTGGTTGCAAAAATACCAAGATGGCGACGGCCAAATTACGAAGTTGATGCTTCAAAACATAAGTCCATAAACCAATGGATCCACATTTTATATACAGTCTATGGTTTTACGTGATCAACACCCTCAATGATACATATGCTCTGAATTTATAAACACATTAGCAGCTAATCATCTATTTATTTACAGTTATTTGACAGCTTTTGCTTCACTTTATTTCGCACCTTTTTTGGTACACGGCCCCGAGCTGCTGTGGTGAAACGGCGAGACGGCGAGGTGGAGCTGCTGCTTTCATGGTAGAACGCCATCGTTGTTGTTTTTAAGCGCATGTTCATTAAACACACAAAGCAACAATGGACGTGATGAACTCAGCGTTTTGCAAATGCTCCATTTTTACGTCCACACAAATACATTTGAAAAATGTGCACCTTCTTTGAAAGGCGTTTTCAAGATATAAAATCACCTCAAACTGTTAGCGCTAATTCGCTAGCCTAGCATCGTTACCCATTAAGCACTCATACATACTCTCTGTAGGAGAAAATGATGAACAGCTTCGACCTGTTTATCCATACGTCTAATTAAAAGTAAACTGTTGTTATTATCCTCCTACACTATGATGCAGTTTGTTTACTTACACAGTTGCAGATTTGATAGATTCTAGTCTCTTTGTAGTATCGGTGAATGTTTAATTTCGGTCTGGTTCTAGTGTCCTTGAGGACTTCCTGTCTGTGGTCGGTGGCAGAGCTCTGAACCTCCAAACAGCTGGAAGTTAAGGTCAAAGAGAGCTGCCAGATGTTCTGACGGCCCTGAACCGTTTCTCTGTGGGAGGCTTCCTAACATCAGTCTGCACAGAAACGATGTGAAACACGACGGGTACAGAATTCACAGGGGTCGCTCCCTGATCTCTGACGAGAAATGACTCAGCAGACTGGAAATTGCATCTGCTTGTCAGCAAAAGCTCTTGTTTGGGGAAAAGGACAGGAAGTGAATGATGGGGGGGGGGGGGTTAGTGGAAGAGAGGGAAGCTCCCGGGAAGTAGGCCGGATTGTTTAGAGTCGGGCTGGAGCGTCGCAGTCGAGTCTCGACATGTTTAATGACTTGATGAGGATTTTGCTGCAGTCACGTTTTCTTTCTTCCCAGGGCTCTGACCTCTCTTCTTTCCTTCGACTTTTTTGTTTGAATGTAACTCGAGAGTTATCGTCCTCCTCCTTCCTGTTATTGTAAATCAAGCCTGAAGTCGTATTCACTGACATAGCTCGCTTTGACTCTGCACATTTTAAGGATTATTTGTGAAACAAGCCAAGCATTTTACAGCTATTCAAAACATCTAGCAGGAAACTTTTTGTTGTTCTCTAAGGAACAAAAAGTTCAGCTTTGCATCAAGATCTCGTGGACATGCAGAGTGAAACCCATCACAGGAAAAGGCAATAAAAACCTCCGTAAATATGACTTAAAAACTACAGAATTGCTCCACAAAATACCTCCTTGAACACATTTAACCGACTCAAGACTTTCAGATTTAGTGGAGACTTTTTGTCCGACTGCATCGTGAGAAATATCCCACGTTAAGCACCACAGGAAGAGGAGAAGATGGGGAAAATGGCAGGAAAATGGCAAAAACAATCGGTGTAGACAGACAGCTGGACTTTCTTTGCTGACTGATAGAAAAGTGGAGGAACAACAAGCTGTTGATATATAATATGATTGTTCCATTGTTGTCATGCAGAGCCGGATAAACTGAATGATGGCAACTTAGTTAACACGTTAAGTTTGTCCAAGTAACTAAAATAGAGTTAAATAAGTTAAATAGAGAAACTAACCTTAACTTTAAGATTATGAACATATGAAATATTGAGAGAAAAATGGGCCAATACTGTATATAAATGTATGTATCTTTTGTCAGATGTGTTGGTTAATGTCTGATCCTTGGTTGTGATTTTAAGATGATTCATAGTTCACTGTGTTTCTCTTCTTCAGGACCTTCAGCCAGAAGAGGGCGGCTGTAGAGAGAGACTACGCCCAGGTGAGTAAATCTCTGTCGTCGCTGAAGCTCGTTAGCGTCATCGCTGCTCTGCCTTTTCATTTGCGTCGCTAAAAGAAATACGGTTTAGCTTTCACGACGCCGTTCCCTCAAAGACGCCATAATATGACAAAGTCGAGGTTGAGGATGTGGTCCCTTCAGAAAGCTCTTTGTTCTCTCGTGGCTCATGAATGAAGACAAACCACAACAGAACCAGAGACCAGGAGTGATCCGCCGGCTCGTTTCCTCCTCGCTGTGTTGTTTAACCCGCAGCTTCCTGCAGACGTCTGAAGAATCCCTTCTTGCCTCTTTGGCTGTGTTCAGGTTTTTTGCAGCGCTGTGAGGAATGTCCACCACGGCTGTGAAGAGAGGGGGCACGTCTGTCGTTATCCAACCAGCAACCTTACATGTCTGTTTGCCCATGAGCATCTGGTCCTAAGGGGGGGGGGGGGCTCAAAGAGCAGCACTTGTTGTGAACGGCCGGTCTTAAATGAGCCAAATAGACTGAACCAGAGTTGGAAAAGTACTTAAGTACATTTTGAGCTACTTCTACTCGGCTACATTTATCTGACAGCTTTAGTTACTTTACAAATTGAGATTTTTTCACACAAAATATGTAAAGAGTTTATAAAAATGATGAATTTTTCTTATGAATTAAACTAAAAACAGTTCATCATGCTGCAGTGACACAGAGCCGGCCAAAAAGGCATAAGAACGGGCAAGCTAGTAAATAGCAAAGTTGTCCATTTTATTACTTTATGTAATAAATATACAAATGTCAATTAGACGGAAAAACCAGGCGGCAACCTCCGGTTCTGCCGACTGAAGCCAAGCCGAGTCTTAAAGCTGCATTCTCTCTGGTGTCCACCAGGGGGCGACTCCTC